GACAGCCAGATCAAGACAGACAGCAACACAACAAGACCCACAGGCACACACAAACGCACGACACCACACAATGATGTACACGAGCAGCACAAGAACACCACACACAGCACCCGGCACACAGACCAGCACACACAGCGAACACCACAGAGCACGACAGACACAACACGCACGCAGCAGAAAGACACGAAAGCACGACAACGACAGCACAGACATGAAGACCAGCCAGAAGACAGACAGACAGAAGACAGCCAGACAGACCACCAGACAGACAGACAGCCAGAACACGACGCACGACAACGAAAAGAACAGCCAGACCAACGACCAGACAAGACGCGGCCAGCAAGAACAGAACTAGTACAGACAGATCACAGACAGAAAACAGCCAGAATGATAAACAGTGATATAAGAACAGCCTCAAGACAGACAGCCAGATAATCAGTACAAGCCATTAATATATATAGCATGAATAAGTAATAAGCTACAGACAGACAGGCTACAGATGCTAAGTACATAGTATACCAGATAAGATCAGCTGCTCAGACATGAGCTAGACATAGACTATGAACAGGCCAGAAGTACTGTACAAGAATAACTAATGAGCCAGACAGCACTATATATATATATATAAGTATCAGACAAGATACTTACCATATGATGACTCAGAGAATACGCATCACAGTAGCTATAATACAACACTCATGGTAATGACAGATCATTACGCATATATGTGCATACTCCGTATATTTAAATCACATACTAGCATTAATGTTGACTTAAATTTCCCATACAATGTGTAATATACCTAAACCATACTCTCGATCATATGTCTAATTCAATTCACTATTTTTGTATATATAGTAGCACGTGAGATATTATCTCAGCCAGATATATATATATTTAAGATACATATATATTAATTTACGTTATATGTGTGTTGTGTGTCGATGATGTGTGTGTGTGTGTGTTTGTGTGATGTGCTGTGTGTGCGTTGTGTTGTCGTAGTTGTGTTGTGTTTGTGTGTCGTGTATAGTGATGTTCTGGTTCGTGCGTGTGTGTTAGAGTGTGGTGTGTGTGCGAACGGTTTCGTTGCTGGGCTGTTCTTCGTGTGCGTATTGGTGTGCTGCGTGTCGGGTTTGTGTTGATGTTAGTGCGGTTATGTGTGTGGAACTGTGTGTTGTGTCGTGTATGTGATGTGTGTGTGTGGTTGTTGTGTGGGTTGTGTGTGTGTGTGTGTGTGTGTGTGTGTGTGGTTGTGTGGTGTGTGTGTGTGTGGTGTGTGTGTGTGTGTGTGTGTGTTGTGTGTGTGTGTGTGTGTGTGTGTGTGTGTGCGTGTGTGTGTGTGTGTGTGTGTGTGTGTGTGTTGTGTGTGTGTGTGTGGTGTGTGTGTGTGTGTGTGTGTGTGTGTGTGTGTGTGTGTGTGTGTGTGTGTGTGTGTGTGTGTGTGTGTGTGTGTGTGTGTGTGTGTGTGTGTGTGCGTGTGTGTGTGTGTGTGTGTGTGTGTGTGTGTGTGTGTGTGTGTGTGTGTGTGTGTGTGTGTGTGTGTGTGTGTGTGTGTGTGTGTGTGTGTGTGTGTGTGTGTGTGTGTGTGTGCGTGTGTGTGTGTGTGTGTGTGTGTGTGTGTGTGTGTGTGGTGTGTGTGCCTATTGCACACAGTCCTCAGGTGGTTAGGGACAAAGGCTTAAAAAGGCTTAGACTGAACTGGCCATTGCGTTATGTCTTATCACACATTTTGCTGACTTCTAGTAGCATAACCTGATACTTAATTTCTCTTAAATGTTAGGAAGATATTTCTCTCCAAGCCGTCAAAACGACAATGCCCATTTATTTGGGCACAGTGTCTAATGGTTAATGGTTAAAAAGCAAAAATAAATGTGCTACAGGAGGGTATATTAAAGTAGGGGTGAAGGGTGATAGTTGCTTTGCGTCAACTATCTAGAGTAGTCTTGAAAAGTTAAGATGGGTAAGGAGTTGATGCGAATGGGCTATGGTGGGTCTAGGTAAGGGAATTACATAAGGGATTCACGTGTGTATCCAGGAGGGAGTGGAAATGATAGAGAGGATGGAGGGAGGGAGAATGTACGTGTAGTTGGAGTTGAGTGGGTGGGTTTGTTGGAGGAGTAGGAGTAAGTGGTGTAGGGGGAATATGAGTAGTAAGAGGATGGGTATCGGGAGGATGGATATCGGCAGTAGTTAGAATTGAGGGGGATGGGATGTGTTGGGAGAGAGTAAGGGAGGGTGTAGGGGGAATGTAAGGAAGAGAATGGATATCAGTAGTAGAGACGAGTTGAGGAAGATAGTTTGTGCTGGAAGGGAGTAGGAGGAAGGGGTGTAGGGGGAATACGAGTAGGAGGATGATGGATATCGGCAGTCACTTCGAGTGTGGAAGGAGCATGAGGTGTGGAACTTTAGGTTTCGAGCATATAGCTTTCAATATCTTCCATAGTTTCTCAGTGCAGTTGGTTGGAGAGTCTTGCAAGACAAAGGTTGTCTTATGAGGAGGGGAAGAGGAGACTGGTGTCTGAGGAATAAAGGCAATGGTAGGTGGAGGTGAGTGTGTTGTAGAAGACGGGGTGGAACGTTTAGTCTGTCTGCTGCGGGTAGTGCGGGGAGGGAGAGGGGATGGTGTTGGGGCTGTAGTAGAGATTGGAGTGTCTGGATTTAGAGTGGCAAAAGAATTTGACTGGGGAAGGTAGGAGGCAGAAGTGGAAGTGGGGAAGTAAGTAGGTATAGGGGAGGGTGTAGGAACATCTTGAGGTGGAGGGGAGGGGCAGAGCGAGCGACATTACTAGAGTAGGGAGTGTAAGAGAAACCTTGTCGGCGTACTTCCTGTCTGGCTTCACGTAGAGACCAATTTTGTATCTGAGAGCTGGTACCTCAGACTCAAACTTGTAGGTGGGGCAGCCTCCATAAAATACATTATGGGGGCCGCCGCAGTCAGCACATGTGTGTTTGTTCAGGGCAGTTTCTTCGGTATCGGTCTATGGGACGGCAGAGTTTGGCAGGACGTCCAAAGCGCCAACATTTTTGACATTAGCGGGGAGGAGGTTGGTATGGTCGAACAGGAAGGGAATGTCCAACAATTTAGATACGAAAGGGAACGGAAAGTAATTTTGGCAATGTTGGTGGGTTTCTTTCGATGACCTCTTGGAGGAATGGAGTAGCACTGTACTGATATCACATCACGGTCTTTGAGGCAGCCGAGTAAGTACTCTCCACAATCTGACCAATTGATATCCATAGGGCAGCTTGCTGGAGAGATAGACACAGTTCCGGTACAAGCATTAAGAGTTGGATGAGGTTCTGCAGGAATGGGGTTGCCAGAGAGATCAGTTGGATTTGATAATGCTGTAGCTTCAGTTTCAGATGTAACTGTAACGAGACGGGAACGATCGGGTCGGGTACGGAAGGGCTCTCCCTACTTGCTTTTGGAGATATTGTTGAAAGAGGAGTGTTGCCTGAGTAAGGAGCTGTAGGGGGGATCACGAAAAATCGGCCCCATTTGGCTGGGGTAAATAGAGGTTAAAATATTTGTAGAGTTGGGGGTGGTTATTGAGAAGGTTAGTATTACGGAGAGATGAAGAATAAGGTTGTATGGTAGTAATAAGGGATGATGTGATTGATGAAGTTTGTGGGGGTAGAGATGAAGTTGAGGAAGTTGGGAGAGTAGGAGTCTCGACGTGGGTGGGTAATACACTAGTAGGCATTGAGGAGTTGGTAGTAGTTGTAGTGTTCAGAGTCGTGGTCAAAGGAGAGCCTGGGGTCAGGGAGCCGGGAGAGTTTGAATTGCTAGGGCTATTTGATGAAGGGGCAAGCCTCATTGCCTCAAATATTACATCTTCAATACTGTTCAATAGTATTACATCTTCAATACTGGCCATGGGAAGCCTTGGCTATGTTGGGGAAATACACAGTCCACCCCTCAGTGTCCCCTTGAGGGGTAAGGGCTAAACAACAAAACAGGGGAATGGCGTGTCCATGGTTCCCTCAGGCAGTTCAGAAAAGGCACAAAGTCAGCCTTTCATCCTTTCAGCACAGCTGGTAAACCTTAGGAAGTAGATAGTAGAAGGGGTTGGAGAAGGAACGGAAATGAAAGAGCTGGAGGGAGAAAAGACGACGCAAAATTAGTTGAGTTGGGGGCTGAGGCCCAAGGCAAGGGAGATCCCCACATTGGATCTCAGTCCCTGTCTCCAACAACACCCACCCCCACCCGCCACAACAACAACAGGCAAAGGATTGGGGGGGCCACAATGTCTAAGAATGACTGGATTCTTTACTTATGGGTATGGCGTTTTGGGAGTGTTGTTTAGTCCTGTTGTAATGTTTTTTATTACACATAAACACACGCTCACCACGTACACAAACAAACAGAAAAAATATTACTTTGGGTTGAAAGAAAGTCAGACGACAATAATA